TAATTGTATCTGAAATCATAATTTTTCTCTATTTTTTAAATATACATTCTCAAAAAATAGTAATTTTTATAAAATTTATTCTTAAAAAATCTAAATCAAATCCACCCTAATAATTTTTAATAATTGAATTCACTCAACAACAAATTGTGAATGGGGCCTACTTTTGTGAAATAATGCATGCATGGCCCCACGCCCCCACCATAAATTTTGTGATTTGTCACAGTTCAGGAGCGAGGACTTGGTGGGAAATGAGTCAATGACGGGGAGAAACCAAACCTCTCTTTCTTTCAAATCAGAAATTGTGGGACGCGGCTATTTTGTCCACCACTTTAGCTTTTCTTTTCTTTTTCTACAGATAGTGGTTGCCAAATAAATGGAGTTTTAAATAGTGAATTTTAAAAAATGCGTGGTTAAAAAATAGGAAAGAATTTTGGGTTTACGTGCAAAATTTATTGTATGAATGTGTGGTTAAAAATGAGCATATGAATTTTTTTTTTAAATAATGGGTGTCAAATAGGGGTAAATGTATATACTTGGCTTATTTTTTATTCTCAAAGCAAATTTGTGTAAGAGATCGTCACACTCCTTCGACACTCCTCCGACAATCCTTGTCAGAGAGAGATTAATCTATATATTATGTTTGGGATGACTTATAAGCATCTTTGAGGTGAAAATGAATTGATTAGCGTGCTTGACTCCAAAGACGACTAGGAATATGGATCGGAGATGATTTGAGAGTCATCCTATCTTTAAGATAAGGTACTAGTTGACACGAGACTTGTTCTCAAATCCTCAAGATTTCATTTTCATGAAAACTTGTTTTGATTCATGGAATATTGTGTTGTCGTGCCTTTCAGGTATATTAGCATCATGGACTCGGAGCCGTTATAAATTTATTACAGGATTACATGTGGAGAAGATATTGCATAGGAAAAGATGAAAATAAGGATTTTATGGGCACATAGAAAATAAGACCCAAGAACTCTATAAAATATTTTTGTTTGTGATATGCATTGTGCTGCTGAAAATTGGGTTGATAAGAGACTAGTGTACAAGATATTCTAAAATTGATCAAACGGCTGATAAGGTGTCAATCAAAAATACGGATTTAAAAAAAAAAAAAAAAACTTATATTACATGGCACATTTGGTCTTTCTCTGTTTTTAATTTCTTTGATTGTTTCTTATCATTAGTAGCAATTTTTTTCCGCATTTAATAAAGCAAGAACTTGAAATTGAAAGTGGAAAAATAGAAGTTTTTCCTTTCATAAATTTTGTAAATCTCAAAATAACAAAATTCCGATCACCATTTCTCTATGTAAACATCTCATACGCATTAAAACACGTTGCTAGGATGCAAAGATCACTTCTAGAAAAAAGGTCAGATGACCATTTGCACTCCGACGGTCAAAATAATGGTCGAACAAGATAGAGCGAGTGCAAGAGACGGGAGAAGACAATTTGACTAGGGTTAGAATTATATTATCTTGTGTGTGAAATTGATTCACATATATAGAGAGAGAAATGAAAATAAGTCAGGTGGGGTTAGTAGATCAAGCCCAAATTCAAGATGAGGTGGCTTGATTTAATAGGTCAAATCCAATTGACATAATTGATTGTTGAATCGGCCAATGTGTGACTCTCTCTATCGCGTACATGTCACATGATTTATACATATATCAAATTTATTACACGATTGTTATTATTGTTCTCAATTTTATTTTATTTAATTCTTTGTCACTATAGTTTTTTTTTTTTTTTGTAGAATTGATCGCGTAATGTGCGTAGAGCCGTAGACTGGGGAACACCTTTGTCATTAGTGTATGTAGTTGCGTTGCATGCATCAAGTACAACTTTTTATTAATTTTCGATTTCAGGGTAAAGCTGTTGGGCCTTCATCGCAGTTCTTTGTCTGTATTTTAAAAAAAATAACGCAAGCCCTAAATATAATTGTTCGTATATTGATATTTAATTGATGCAAAAATTTTCCTTTAACATGTCGTCGCAAGATGTATGATGACTCATTTTGAATAAATCAATCTTAAAACCGTGTGCTCCTTTTAGCTTTAATCAGACAGAATTGATTTTTTCAACATAGTGAGATCTGATACATATTAAGATTTGTAGTGTCATCTTGAAATTTCAATTTCGCTACAAGAAATATGCCAAACTCGTACTTATTTGTCTATATTTTAGTATTTAACCGAAACAATAACAAAATCAACAATTGAATTTAAAATCTATCGTTATCAACGAAATGAAAGTATAAAGTGCTATCACAATTCATTCATTCTCGGACATAGATGTTCACGAAAGGTGGCATGGGACATCTGTAGGCGGCGGGAGTCAACCATCCGAGCGAGAGTTCAGACCAATCCCATTCATCAATCCCTTCCTAACTCTGCTCTAGCTCTAGGAAAGATCATCGAACTCATACATAGATGTTCACGAAAGGTGGCATGGGACATGTGTCGGCGACGGAAATATAATCGACGTATAACACATAGAACAAATTTGTTAGAATATGTACTAACATGCATAATTGAATTTAGAATTAGTAGCATAATTACAGAATGCCTTGAAGTTTCCTTCAAAGTTCAAATCCAATCAAGTAAATACAAAAATTCCTTTATGTTCAAAGTAAAAACAGAAAGGACTTGTAATAGAATAATTAATAAATAACTATTTATAATATATTAATATCACATCAAGCGAGAATCATCTTTTTAACGATTATAATCTTACTACAATTCAATTATTTCAATAATATCTTACTTTTATTTTTCAATATATATTTAATTTACAAACTATGATAAATACTATAATTAATTCTCAAGTATTTAACATTCACATTCACCTCCATATCCCTATTATTAATTTTTAGTTCATTAACATTCACATTCATTTAATATCACATTCAATAATACATTTCATTATTCATATCCATGTATGCTAAATAGCATCCAGATTCACTTAATTGAAAATTAAATTATATTCATTTAATATAAATGATTTAACATTCATTGTTACAAATATATTCTTTGGTATTAATTCTAAATGTACGTGTCCATTTGATATATTCATTGCACATGTGTTCTTTTATAAATTTCCTATTATTAATTCTCAATTAATTAACATCCACATGCATTTAATTAATATCATCTTCATTATGCATTTCAGTGTTATTAATTATAATTATAAGTTAATTAGAATTTCACATCGAAAAATACATTTCATTATTCACGTCCATTTATACTAATTAAAATCCAATTTTATTTAATTGAAATCAAATATCACATCAACTAAATTATTTTTTGGACGATTTTAGTTATAGTATAATTCAATTATTTCAGTAATAACTTACTTTTCACTTTTCAATATATTTTTAATTTATTTAATTATTTAGTTACCATCAATGTACTTGTACATTTGACAAATTCATTTCACTTGTTTGTTTTCATTAATGTATGAATTCTCTATTATTATTTCAATAGTATCTTACTCTTCATTTTTCAATATATACTTAATTTAAAAACTGTTATAAATACTATAATTAATTCTTAATTAATTAACATTAACATTAACATTCATTTTATTAATATTAATTAGAATATTATATTGATGCGGTTCATTATTCACGTTCGTGTAAGCTAATTAGCATCCAAATTCACTTAATTGAAAATTATATTATATTCATTTAATATAAATGATTTAACATTCAATATCACATATATTTTTTTTTTGTGTTAATTCTAAATTAATTAATATCCACGTTAATTCATGTATCGTATTTGTCATTCATTTTCATTTATACATTTAGTTGTAATTCTAATACACATATTCAAATATGCATTTAACTATTTATGTACATGTATAATAATTAACATTTATTTTCAGGGGTTTGCATTTATCTCATATTTAGATAAAAATAGTAAATGGAATGTCAAATATTACTTTCACAGCATTTATAAATCATTTCAGAATAACGTACAACTTACGTTCAACTCTGACTAGTATACTAAAAAGTTAGAACACAACATTATAACCTCTCTATTTTTAGTTTTGAGTATCACATAATAACTTTGATCACATTTTGAGTCATATTATTTAAAATAAGACCAATGTCATTATAAAGAAAATATGATTTTTTTTTTTTTTTTTGGATCTTCAATATAAATTATAAGAACATAAATTGATATGTCACATATGACTGGTTCAACATAGTTTAAATGTTAACCATATAAATTTACTATTATTTGTGCGAGTATATTTTTAATTATTAATTTTGAAGGATACAATATTTTAATGAACCGGCGTATATATTATTTAGCTAAATTTTACTAGAGCTGACAACGGGACTGGGCGGAATAGTGACGTCCTTTATCATCCTTGACCCATAAGGAATTGTTAGGAGTTGGGGCCATAATTAAAAAAAGTGGAAATTACATAAAAGCCTACTTTTGAACATTCCATTTCATAAATCATATGTTATGTTTAACATTTCAAAAATCAGACATTTTATTAATTAATATATTATTATTATATTAAATTAAATTAATTTATAAAACAACCTACCTCTCTCGATCCCCCTCATTCCCCCACCCCACCCCACCCCACCCCACCCCAAACCTTTCTCTCTCATCACTCTCAACTCTCCTCTCTCTCGTCGCTGGCACGACTGTCTCCACCGCTCGACCAACATCAAAATCCTGCTCGTCGTCTTCGCCCACTGTCGACGTAAGCGATCTAGTCACTGCTTCAGATTTTTAGGGTGGTTTTCGAGTCGACCTGCCCTTTCGAAATCTATCGCGATGAGCTTCGGTGCGGCGACAATGGTGGTGGGGATGTGTGCTATTGTGCGGTGATGTTGGCGACGTAGTGGGTGTGTGGTGGGTTTGATTTTTGGGCTGTGATGGTGGGGATGATTTTTGGGCTATGATGGTGGTGGGGCGTGTGTGCGTTGCTGGTTGGGGACGGTGGATCTAAAAATGGAAGCGGCATTCACAGTTCATGGCTGCAATGGTTTGGGAGATCTAGTTTTTGAGCGTTGGTGGTGTCGTTTGCTCGTCGTGGTGCCTCGGCTGTGTGAGGTGGTGTTGTGTGGGGGTGTCGATGGTTGTGGTCGGGTGGTTTTGGTGGTGTCAGGTAGTTATGGCAATCTTTGGCTCGGCCGCTCGACTCGTACTTGACTCGTACTGTAGCGATCCACG